TCAGAACACAAACAAAATATCACACAACAGTAGAGGGACTGTCAAATGCCTACAGCCAGGGGCCTGCCCTCTTGTGACTGCAAGTTCTATGGTATGCACAGTGTGTCCCAGTCAACAAGAAACATGATAGCAAAGCCTAACCAGCCTTCTGAAGCTCTCGGCTTCCCGTTTGTTGAGGATGCCAGCTCTCAGCTTTGTGCTCCAGAACCTGCTGTGGTTAAGATGAGACCAGCATCACCAAGGACTGTAAACCTGGGAGTATTTTCTCAGGGTCAGCACACAGAAGCTGTGGTCCAGAGGGGACCAAGGCTGCCTTGGATTGGTGATGTGTAGGAATTGCCTAGGTGGTACTCGTTTTGAAGGCATGAAGGAGTCATGGAGAGCACCTCGGCTTGGCATCATGAGAGGCTGGGGGAGGCCACTGGTCAATGTGCAGCCCCAGTAGCAGGGACAGCCCCAGGATTGAAAGGGTCATGGAGAGATACTGAGGCTTGGCATCATGCAGCAGGGTCAGTCCCTTAACCACAGCAAATTCTTCAGCCCTAGCTGACCAGCATCCATTGTCCCAGTAAAGCAAAAGTTCCACTTTAATGGTGATGGCTTCTTGATAATTATGGTCTATTCTTCAGCCCCAGACAACCACAACTTCAAATTCTTAATTAAAAAGAAAAATCACATGATAGAGCCTTTGAAAAACTCTCAAACTTCCCCGTGAAACCTCACAAGCCAGGCTTCTATCATCTGCACTGCTCTCTGCATTCTGATCTTCCCAGCTCCCACAGAGCAGCCTACTGAGCTGTCAATGCTCAATGGCTTTTCCAGCCCAAAGTTCAATGCCACCATAGTGCTAAGGAAAAAAAAAAAAAACATAGTCAGGTTTGTCACAGCAATGCCCCATGTCCTGGTAACAATTTCTATATTAGAATTTCTGTTGCTTGCTTACTGGCTTGCTCCTCCTGGCTTACTCAGCCTGCTTTCTTATAACACCTAGGGCCACCAGCCAAGGGCTGACCCCTCCCACAGTGAGCTGGGCCCTCCCATATCAATTATCAATCAAGACGATGTACCAAATCTAAGTGGGACATTTTCTCAATTGAGATTCCCTCTTCTCATGGGACTCCAGTTTGTGTCAAGCCAACATAATAACCAAAAGCTAGAAGATGAAGTTTATCTAAACAAACATCCACAGCAGAATTACCACATGCTAATAAAAGTCAGGCTAGGGCAGAGGGAGGAATTAACAAGATGGATTCAGCTGTTCTGCTTACAAGAAACTTGGCTCTGGGCTTTATTTTAGCAGAACTGGGGGAAGAAGCTAGCGTTCCCCACATGCTAAGCAAGCACTCGACCACTGAGCTTTAGCTCCTGCCTTTCAAAGTATATATTAGTGTACATCTACTTATTTAAAGGGGGTACAGGGGGCTGGAGAGATGGCTCAGTGGTTAAGAGTTCAACTCCCAGCAACCACATGGTGGCTCACAACCATCTCTGGTGGGATCTGATGCCCTCTTCTGGCATAAAGTTGTACATGCAGATAAAGCACTCATATACATACATAAATAATAAAATCTTAAAAAAAGAATTTTAAAATATTAAAAAAGTGCATATGTGCAGGTCAGAGAACTTGTGGGAGTTGGTTCTCTCCTACCATATGGGTCCAAAGAAGGAACTCAGATTGTCAGGCTTGGTTGCAGGCACCTTTATCCAGTGAGCCATTTCCCTGGACACCCCCCCCCTTTGTTTTCTTTTTAATTTTACCAGGTAAGACTTTGTCTCAACAAGGAAAAAATATCCAACTTTGTAAACAAAGATCGTGAGCAGTCACAGCACCAGACAGAACTACAGCTAAGTCTCTGGAGGTGTTTCCTCACATGTGTCCCAACTCAGCTCCAGCAGGGTGGAGCACTGGTCCAGAAGGGAACAGGGTTTCATGGCCTTGGTTCTTCTCCTGTTCTCTTTTGGGAGAGCCACTTGCTGGCTGCTGCTCCGTGTCCCTAAGGTCCAGCTCAGCCCCCTCCCATTTTGCTTCTGGCCTGTCAGACTCAGCACTCCTCAGCCAAGACCCTGGTTCCCAAAGTCAGCAGACACCTTGAAGAAGCTGGGTCTTTCAATCCCAGGAACACCAGACACTGATTACCATCCTTTCTTAATAAATGTGGCTGTATCACGTTTTAGTATGCATTCTTTTTTTTGCTAATGGCTTATTGTGTGGTGGTTTGAATGAGAATGGCCCCCATAAGTTCATATATTTGAACACATGGTCACCAGTTGGTGGAACTGTTTGGGAAGGATTAGGAGGTATGGCCTTGTTGGAGGAGATGTGTCACTGGGGATGGGCTTTGAGGTTTCAAAAGCCCATGCCATTCCCAGTCAATTCTGTCTCTTTCTTCCGGATCAAAATGTATGCTGTCACATACTGCTCCATCACCATTCATGCCTGCCTGCTGCCATGCCACCTGCCCTAATGGTCATGGACTTTAACCCACTAAAACTGTAAGCCCCAAATAAACTTTTTGTTTGTTTGTTTGTTTTGTTTTGTTTTTAGAGACAGGGTTTCTCTGTGTAGCCTTGCACCTGTCCTGGATCTCGCTCTGTAGACCAGGCTGGCCTCAAACTCACAGAGCTCAGCCTGGCTCTGCCTCCCGAGTGCTGGGATTAAAGGTGTGCGCCACCACTTCCGGGCCCCAAATAAACTCTTAAGTTGCCTTGGTCATGGTATCTTATCACAGCAATTTAAAAGTAATTAAGGCAATTTATTTTATTTATTTTAGATTATGGAGATAATGTTAGGCACAAAGCAAATGTGTGCAATTTTCTTATTCAAATTCACAATGAGTCCTAAGGATAGGATCAACTTACACCACCAATGCCCTTTGCCCAGGAACTTCTGAGGATGCACAATGCAGTGGCCAAGCAGCAATGCAGGGAGATGGGAGCCTTGAAGATGAGGAGCAAAGGTTGGGCCACATTGGGAGCTGATGGTGACAAACCTAGAGTAACCATCAAAGTAGATTCTCCTACAACTACAGGAAAAGTCACCCAAGAATTCAGTGCAGACTGTTCAAGAGTCATTCGGCACTTGAGGCAAGCTGGAAAGGTGAAAGGCCACTAAGAGGTGGCCTCAGGAGCTGCTAGGATTCCAAGACATCATAGTTTCGGACTTTCTTGTTCTCTGGAACAGAAAGACCATTTCTCAATTGGATCATTGAGTGAATGAAAACAGTGTCTAAAACAGTGGTTCTCAATCTTCCTAATGCAGCCCTTTAATACAGTTCATGTTGTGATGACCCCCCCCAACCATAAAATTATTTCATTACTATTTCATAACTGTAATTTTGCTAGTTTTGAATTGTAGTGTAAATATTTCAGGATATTTGATGTGCAACCCCAAAGGGGTCGCAACCCACATGTTAAGAACCACTGGTCTAGACAACCGGCTAGACCCAGAAGAGACCTCCCAAGTCTTATTCACACCAAGGGGTGGCCATGGTTGGTGTCTGGGTCCTGCTGACAGTCTGATCTGGCTGTAGGTTTCTCAGCCTGGTAAAACCATTCCACCTAAGATGTGTGCTCTGTAAATCGAGGAGAGGCACCGAACACAGCACCACCTGCAGCTGGCGCTGTCACCAGAAAGGGCGTGATTCTTCTCCACAACATCTGACTGCATGTCAGACATCCAACGCTTCAAAAGTTGAGCGAGCCAAGCTCCAGGGTTTGGCCTTGTCCGCCACACCCACTTGCCATCTCACCCAACAAAGACGTGTTTGAGCCTCGTTATGATTGAAAGTTCAATCTGAAACCTAATACGTACAAGACCACACTCCGCCAAGTACAATGGAAACTCAGCTCTCGTCGCCGGATTATTCTACAGCTCCATCTGCTGCTTTCACTTGACAGAGCCAGTGTTCAATGCCTCTGTGGTACTGACTGTGTCTCCATCCGAGCCTCAGGACCGAGGTGAGTGTTCTGCTCAGGTAGCCTGGGGCCTGGCCCACAGATGTGCTGGATTGTGCCCAACCCCCCCTTCAACCCATTCTCATCCCACTTGGCTCTGTGCCCACAGGAGGGAGACCTTGTGGGCTATCAACCTGCTCCCCAGGCCCTGAACTTCCACCTGGGCGTGGCCAATGGGAGGCACGCCGGAGCAGGGCACACTGTGGGGTCAGGACACCCTCTTCCCTTAGGCAGTTAGCACCTGTGTCTCCTCAGAGATGACGACTCATTTCACGCCGTCCCAAGGCCTGCCCTCCTCCAGGTTAGGTGAGTACCGGATGGAAATGCCTCCCCCATGCCCAGCCCAGGGCTTCCTCCTGCATTCCCACCACTCCTTGAGCCGCTCACATGCCCCCAGCCTGGGCATCATGTCCACCTGGGACACCATCTGGCACAGAGGAGCCATGGTAACATCTGATGGCTGAGGGAAAACATGCCTCACCTACCCATGACTTAGGAGCTGGGAAACAGGGAGTAAACACACTTCACATACAAGAGGACAGGAGGCCTGGAGAGACGGCTCGGAGATGAAGAACACTTATGGCTCTTGCAGAAGACACCACTTTGGTTCTCAGCACCTGCAGGGTAACTCAAAACCACCTGTAACTCCAGCTCCAGGGAATCTGATGCCCTCCTCTGGTCTCTATGGGTTCTGCATATATGCAAGCCAACACTCATACATATGAAACAATAAATCATAAAAAGATGACATGAATAAAAATATCACCTTATACCTCAGAAACACACACACACATCAATCAATCAAAAAAAGAGGAGGGACATTCTGGACAATGAGTCTCCCAACATGAAGGCTCAGCCGATGTCTGCTAACCAGCAGGGAGCTGCCCGGGCAGGCAGAGGAAGATTGGTACTATACACACAGGTTTCCAGGTGATATGTACACTCAGCCACACCATGAGAAACACTGCCTGGAGAAATGTCATCTACTGCTTGGAGACCAAGCCTCACAGCCTCCCTGCCCACCTAGAAGGACGCAGACCACCAAGTACAATGTCAGCTATGCTTTATTATATATATATATATATATATATGTCTCTTGATCACCAGAACCTAAACAGAGGGTTCTGTTATAAAACAGAGAAAGGGGGAGATAAAAAGAAAGCAGCCACAAGGTTAAATGCTGGGGTAGATGAGGGTACTCAGGGCCTGCCTGGGGTGAAAGTGCATGGTCACTGGGCCCAGGGCACTAGTAGTGTGGGTCCAGGGGGCTGAGCCCAGTGATGGCAGCAAAGTCAAGGCATGGGTAGTCCGAGACCTGGGGACGCAGACGAGTTCCATCCTTCTCCGCTCAATTACGGTTGCAGCGACAGGCTGCTTCCTCAGCATCTTCAGGTTAGAATGGCCTGCCCTATGTGCGCGTGCGCGCGCACACACACACACACCAAGCACACACACACACACACACACACACACACACACACACACGCACGCACGCACGCACGCACGCACGCACGCACACACGCACGCACGCACACACACGCACACGCCAGGCACACGTGCTCACTCACACTTGCAAGCAGAGCTCCTGATGTCAAGGCTGCACCTCGGGCTCAGCTACCAACTTCAGAATCAAGGTGTGTGCTCGTCTCCTTGGCAGACTGATGAGGCCACCGCCCAGGCAGATATCTAGCAGCTTGAGGCCCCGGCAGGAGGAACAGCCTGCGGGATGCTGTGGACATGAGGGAGAGCCCCATGGAGACCTGCAGGTGGCAGCCTCAGTCAGGGAGGCACAGAAACCAGCTCTGAAACCAGCTCTGCAAGGTCAGCTCTGCCTGTCAGCAGCCAGTCCAGGAGGAAGCACAGTGCCAGAAGGCTAGTGCCCAGCAGGTCCCCCAGGCCTGTGAGGTAGGGGATACAGTGGTTGTCGGGATCCAGAGCCTGGTGCCAGGTCAGCCGGACCATCACTTCTGCCAGGTACAGCAGGATCACCACCTGCCGGAAGAGCAGACAGAGGTAAAAGACAAGTCAGAGGCGCAAGGACAACCAGGAGCACCAGCTGGCTTCCAAGGACGCCACCAAGGTCGACGGGTCAACCCCAGTCAGTTCCCTTTCTCCAGCCTTGCTTGGGACCTGAGTGTCTTGGACAAGTACTGGAAGTCTGGTTCTCACTGTGGTGGCACTGAGATGGGGGGATCCACTGTGGTGGTGGTGGTGGTGGTGGTGGTGGTGGTGGTGGTGGTGGTGGTGAGGTGTGTGTGTGTGTGTGTGGACCCTTCTAAGCTGAGGTCTAGTGAGAAATGGTAAGGTCATGAATGGACCAATACTTCTTGAGGGAGTGGACCAGGTTCCCTGGGTCTGAATCGATTCTCAAAACAGGTTGTTGAAGAACAGGGCTGGGCCATGGCTGCTGGCCACTGCTGCTGGCCACTACTGCTGGCCATTGCTGCTGGCTACTGCTGCTGGCCACTGCTGCTGACCATTGTTGCTGGTCACTGCTGCTGGCCACTGCTGCTGACCATTGTTGCTGGCTACTGCTGCTGGGCCATTGCTGTTGGCCACTGCTGCTGGACCATTGTTGCTGGGCCATGGCTGCTGGCCATTGCTGCTGGACCATTGCTGCTGAGCCACTGCTGCTGGCCATTGCTACTGCTCGCCACTGCTGCTGGACCATTGCTGCTGGACCATTGCTGCTGGGCCATTGCTGCTGGACCATTGCTGCTGGACCATTGCTGCTGGACCATGGCTGCTGGGCCATTGCTGCTGGACCATTGCTGCTGGACCATTGCTGCTGGCCATTGGTGCTGGCCATTGGTGCTGGCCATTGCTGCTGGACCATTGCTGCTGGGCCACTGCTGCTGGCCATTGGTGCTGGGCCATTGCTGCTGGCCACTGCTGCTGGCCATCGCAGCAGGTTCTGGACTCAACCATCATGTGCCCTTGCTAGTGCTTGGGTCCTGCCCTGGCCTCTGAAGTGCCACAGGGACCTGCTGTCACTCACCAGCCAGGACCCTCTCTGCTTGAACCCCTCCCCCCTCAAGAGGTTTGGCGAGCCCTTCTAGAAGCTTCCAAGGAGCAGTCTACATGGCCCTACTCAGGTCGCATAGTCACTGTGGTCCTTATCAGCCAGTCCCTGCCCTGTTCCTTCCCTCTAGGTAAAGTCATGGACTTGCCTAAGTCTCGTGACAAGGAAACACTTCAGTGTATTGTCCTGAAACTGCCACAGTGCCTATGATCCCCTCTGCTGACACTCTAGGGGACATCAGCCAGAGGGCATCTCAGCAGTGCTGAGTCCCCCTCTCAAAGGAGCAGCAGCCTAATCTCTTTCACATTGACCACATGCCATCCTGCCTGGAAGGAACGCTATACGTGCCCTTGGGTCCCATGCAAAGCAGGGGCTTCTGTGAGGGGAAGAAGAGCCGGCTCAGCCTCCTCCACAGAACACAAGACACCCACAGCGGCTCTTCCAGCGTTCTGATGAGTGTGGCGTGCAGAGTACCGTGCACAGTGAGGGAAGTGTGCAGGATGCGGTATGACCGGGCAACATGCAGTGTGCAGTGTGCAGCAGAGACGTGGTGTGAGGTGTGTGGTACACAGCACAGTGGCCTCTGTGTCAAGTCCTCTGTGTCGCTGGGCTTGAGCGAGCTGGCTGCATCTTTGTACGACAGGAACTCTACTCAGTACCTCCCACGGGACAGGGACCACTGATGCTGGCTAAGAAGACGTGAAGGCTGTGTGTCTCTGCCACTCTCCTCCTCACCTGGATCATGGCTGCCACCAGGTATAGCAACACGAAGACCTTGCTGCTTGTCACTGCCTGGCCCTCCACCAGGCAGATGAGGTAGAAGAAGATCAGATGTCCTGGGATCACCAGAAAGAGCAGGACTCGAGCTGACACAGAGTTGACTTCTAGAAGGAATGGAATCAAGAGGATCACAATACCTACCTGCTTGCAGAGGCCATTGGCAAAGGAAGAGCCCCCAATGAGGCAGCCAAGCTCCTTCATCCACAAACAGCAATGATGTGGGGCACTCTATTACGTGGGAACTCGGTCCTGACCTTCCCTTCCTTCAAGGGGCTGACATTGGAGGGCACAGATGAGAATCGTGTAATTGGCCACACACAGAAGGAAGGTCATTTCATTTCACATGGCAAGAAATACTTAAAAAAAAAAAAAAAGAAAGAAAGAAGGAAAAGAAAAGAAAGCTTAGGCTAGGAAGGGTGTGCAAGTGGGGGCAGCCCCCCTGGGTTCTAAAGACCCCTGTGGGGAGGGGCACAGCATGAGGTCCGACACTGGAGTGGGAGACAGACTGTGCCAGCGGCTAAGGTGGAAAGAAGCCAGGGGCCAACTGGGGAGGGTGACACACTGGCAGGGCCCCCTGGGGGCTCCCCCACCTTGACCTGTCAGTGCAGCTGAGACATCAGCGAGCTCTGAGCTCTGCTTTTCTGCTCTCTGAACTTAAGGATCTGTAGTGAGTGGACTCCACCCCACCCAGACCCAACCACATACACGTGGGCATTACAGCCAGTGGGTGTGATGCCCTCTCAAACACAGTCGTACAGCAGAAGTCATCTCTGCCCTCCTGAGATTGTCAGGAAAAGGCAGGGAAGTCACTGGACAAACTCAGACACTCCAACACCACCACAATGAACTGAAAACGTCAACCAACAGAAGCAAGTGGTTTGGGTCGTTAGGGACAGAGTGTACCTCCGTGACAGAGCACACGCTGAACATGCTCAAGGCCCTAGGGTTCTGTCTCCTGCTCCAGAGAAAATAGTTTTGGGGGACAAAGAGGGGAAGGGGATCATGCAACTCAGGATGATCCTCCTGCCTCCACCTCCCGAGTACTGGGATTACAGGTGTGCACTACCACACCCACTTTCATGTGGTGCTGAGAAGTGAACCATCATCTGAGCTACATTCCCAGCCAACTCCATGCACGTGCGTGTGTGCATGCGTGCGTGTGTGCGTGCGTGCGTGCGTGTGCGTGTGCGTGTGCGTGTGTGTGTGTGTGTGTGTGTGTGTTATCCTCAGGAGTCATCTGCTTTACTTTTTGGACAGTGTCTCTTACTGAATGGCCTGAAGCTGGCCAGCACACCCCAGGAATTCACGCAGCTCTGCCCGCAGCACCGGGGTCACAGGTGGGGTCACCATGCCTGCTCTTTGTTGTTGTTATTGTTTTGGTTTGGTTGTTGTTTTCCAGACAAGGTTTCTCTGTGTAGCCCTGGCTGTCCTGGATCTTGCTCTGTAGACCAGGCTGGCCTTGAACTCACAGAGATCCACCTGCCTCTGTCTCCTGAGTGCTGGGATTAAAGGCATGTGCCACCACCGCCCGGCTTTGTTTTTGTTTTTTCATGTAGGTTCTGGGGATTGAACTTAGGTCCTCACACTTGTACAGCAAGCATTTTTTCCGGACCCAGTCGTCTCCTCAGCCCCAACTCTCTCTCTCTTTTTTTTTTTAAGGCAGGTAAAGAAAGCCTAAACAGGAAGGTGTGAAGTGGGTGAACACCCCGGCATATGCAGTTTGTAGTGGCAGCACGCCGCGTGGGGCAGCTGGACTGAACACTCAGAAAATCTGCAGGAAATCCATGTGTAAACAGTGAGAATTGAGTAAAACGTGTGATGCAGAAATAACACAGAAAAGGTTTCCCAGCTGGAAGGTGATGTTAGGAGAACATGGGAGTGTGTGCACACGGTCACCACTAAATGTGAGGCTGAGGTGAGAGAACCATCACCTGAGCCCAGGGGTTCAAGGCCAGCCTGGGTAGCATAGCGAGATCTCCCACCGTAAACATTAAACACACACACACACACACACACACACACACACACACACACACACCCCATAAAATCACACTAAAAAGAAGGGGTTGGGAAATAAATACGGTCCCATGGCCTCAGCAGACAGCAGACTGACCTGAGGAACAGAAAATGAGGCATGGGTTAGGCCAGAACCTTTTCATCTGGACGGGGAGGACCCCAGGTGTGCTCCACATGTGCAGGAAGGTGGAGATGCGGCTGGTCTGAATGGCCACCAGGTTGCCACCAACACCTGTCAGGAGAGAGGGTACAGCACGCTCCAACCTCTGGCTTCTCTTACCGCACACTGCTTTCCCAGGATGCTGTCACTACACAGTATTTCTTATCTCCTCTCTCCTTCCCACTCAGCTTCTCTGGGCACCCAGAGAGGGTGCCCCGGATCCTGTGAGCACCATCACCCTGACAGCCAGTCTCTAAGCCTAGGGAAGTTGAACAGGCAAAGCCATAAAAACCAAACCAAACAACAACAACAACAAAAACCCTGGATGGTCCTGTGCGGGGGAGGGGGGGGGATGGGTGGATGTGGCCTTGAATAGTACAGATGCTCATGCCCAGAGGTAGGGATGGATGCATGAAGGGTTGTCTTTATGATAGGACCCAGGACGCCACCAGGAGCCCAGAAGACCACGAGCATGTTCACACCCTGGAACTCTGAGACCTCTTGCTGAGGCTGTGAGCCCTGCAGCATAAGATGGCCTAGCTGGACATGGCCTTTTCTTGGGAACTGGCAGAGGACAGTGCCTGTCCCTGACAAGGGTCCACAGCCACACAGGAACTTTCCCTAGATAGGCCATGTGAAGACAAGTAGCCCAGGGGATCCAGCCTCTCAGAATGCCTCTGTTGCAGTTTCCTCAAAATTCTACATCCAGAACAACTTCAAAGCTGCTAGCTGAGATGGTCCAGCCTCACAGACTGCTCCAGCCAAGACTTCAGACAAGCCCTGCACTTTCCCATCACACAGAAACTAAACAAAATAATAATAATAATAATAATAATAATAATAATAATAATAATAATAATAATAATAATACTGCTAGTTCTCCCAGGACTTGAGCATTATCCCAATTTTCTCACAGTCCCCTAAAGATGCTGTTGCCCCCCGCAAACAACAGGAAGCAGTCTAGAGAACATAATCCCTACATCCCCAAGAGATGAGGTGGATGTTTTTTGGTCATTTGGTGGGTGATGGATGTTTGTCATCGTTTAGGGGGCTTGGTTACAAGTTGTTATTGGTCATGATCAAGGAAAAAGCTGAACAAAGGAGATTAGATTCAGGGATCTCTTTCTGAAGGGAAAAAAGGAGATATACTGGAGAAATGATGGTATAAAAGGGTGGATTGTGGAGTTTATTTTTGAACAACCACTAGTCTCAAATATTTTATACTGATATAGGTTTTTGTATATTGGTACAAATTTAAGGTTATTTTTGTTATACTATATGTATGTTTCTACTCTTGTTTAAAGTACTGTACCTATGCAGCTCATTTAAAAATGTAAAGTCTTAGTCCTTGAAACCTATTTAGAATAATAAAGAAAGATGGGTTAATAGTAATCTAGAACAATCAAACTTATAGTCATGTTAAGTACATTTTCAAAGTTAAACAGAAATATATTTTAAATAGCTAGATGGTCTTCAAACACTTCAGAGACCTATGGAATATGGCATTTAAAATGTTTAAATAACATAAGGCTTTTTATGACAATGAGACAGACCTGCTCTTGGCAGCACCAATTTACTTCAAAAGATGATGGTGAGCATTTAAGAACCTCCATCTGGAGTTTGCATGTGTGGTAAAGTTTGCCACTGGGCAAAGAGGCTGCCCTTGCCCCGACGGCTGACAGAATACTGTCCAAATTTGGACAAGCAGGACACAAAAGAAGGAATTGACAAAATTTGCCAAGACAGGGTAGGACAGTCCTTCAAAATTCCTGCATCACAGAAAAGTCTGCCAAATAGTCTAGGCCCACAGGCTGAAGATGGATGCCCCAGTGTTGCAGAGGAACCTTGGGGTGACTGTCAGGGCAGCCAGATGTCTCTGTTGTTTCTTAGTTTAGGAAGTTGCTGGCTATGCACTTCCTGTTTACTCAGGGAATATTATATCCTTCTTGGGTCTCTGAAGACTAGATAGTATACAGTTTTCCTTGTTACCAAATTAAAAAAAAACTTACATAAGAGATATAAAATTTATAAGGTTGAGAAACATGAAAGCTTAAGTTGTTTATCTAAAAAGATGTTTTTAGGTCTAAAAACTTGTATAATGATATACAAGTTATGATAAAAATGGTTTAGGTATAAAACTTTTGACTCACTAAGATAGGATAATACAGTACTTTCAATTTGCCAATTACATGTAGACTAAACATTGTGAATGTAATTCTTACTTGATATTTGTTCTTATTGTATATAGTTTTACTATGTTAGAGTTAAAACCTTTCCTTTTTAATTAGACAAAAAGGGGTAAATGTTGTGGGATATTTGTACACTGTGTGAAAATGTATTGCTATGACTGGTGTAATAAAAAGCTAAATGGCCAATAGCTAGGCAGGAGGTATACGTGGGACTTCTGGGAACAGAGAGGACTCTGGGAAGAAGGGCAGACAGATGGAGAAGAAACAGAAGGTGCAAAATCAAAGAGAGGTAACACCATGTGACAGAGCATAGATTAATATAAATGGGTTAATTTAAGTTATAAGAGCTAGTTAGGAACAAGCCTAAGCTAAAGGCCAAGCTTTCACAGTTACTAAGAAGTCTCCGTGTTGTTACTTGGGGCTGGTGGTGGAAAAAAAAGTCCATCTACAGTCACGTGTGTGTGTGTGTGTGTGTGTGTGTCAGGGTCTGAGATCAGCCACATGGATGACCCTAGTGGAGAAAAGCCATCAACCTGCAGTCAGAAAGGATGGCTGGACATTCATTTCTCCTGACCATACACAACTTTAAAAAGGAGGAAGGAAAGAAATTAATTAGTTATGTTTATAGATTCAGCGCTTTACCCCAGTTCTCAACCTCTCTTAACCTGTCGGCTCCCTGGTCACCAGGATCCAGCTTCCCACAAGCCACCATGGCCAGAAGGACAGGGCAGGTGGAAGTCCCTTTAGGCTAGGAATGGCCTCCCGCAGTACCACTTCCATCATTGTCCAGTGCGTCTTGCCTGCCTGACTTCTCTCTGAGCAGCCAGGAGTCAGGGTGTCACAACCCAAATGCCTGCAGACCATGGGCAGTGAGGCAATGAAAGGAAGTGAGTCAGTGCAGGACCGCAGGGAATTGTGGGGGCTGAGGCGCAGCGTCACACAGTCATGCTGGCTGTTGCCAGGCCCAGAGAGTAAACCCACTACTGTTGTGGGCTTTACTTTTAAGGTGGAGACAGAACCCCAGAACCCCATGTGTTAATGTCTGAGTTTTAATGCCACCAATGACTCTAAAACAAAGAAGACTTGGCCTGGTACTCACACCTGTAATACTAGGGAGGCTGAGGGAGGTGGATAATCACCGTGGGTTCAAGGCCAACCTGGGCTACATAAGAGTTCTAGGGCAGCCTGATCTACAAAGTGAGAACCTGTCAAAAAACAATAAAATCGGTATGCTTCACTCCCCATATGCTCTGGGGTCCCTTCAGATCCTTTGCATCTGAGGAAACCCAGCCTAACAGATCTGTAGGTTGTTCAGGCTCAGCTTGCCCAACCCCCTCAGAACCTGAAGCTGCACACTGGTGTTCAGTCCCTACCTAGTCCAGGGACCCCCAAGAGGAGCGGCACCCAGCACTCACCACATATGACGGGAGTCAGGACAGCCATGCCTTTAAACTGATGTTTAGAAATGGTTCTGCTTAAGATGAGGCCTCCGAAACTGGGGAGAGAATGGAGCTGACGTTAGAGTGGCCTGGCCAACTACCCACTGGCCACCTTCCTGGGCTTGGTCAACATCATCCCTTCCCTACACAGAACGTTTGCTGCAACCCAGCCATCTCCTCATATCATGTCTCCATCTTTATTCCAAGCCTCAGCTGTTCCAGAAGGTCCTTTGGATGATGGCAACCCATTATGAAATAAGAGCCTTCCCAAGGCCACGAGCAGCATGGGTCCTCCTGGCTAGGCTCCATCATAGGATGAGACACCAAGCCCCCTGACAAAGACCTTGCTTCCACCAGAAGCTGGAGTTTACGAAATGCCTTTCTACCTCTCAGACTTTGTAGAGCCTTAGAGAAAGTAGGTCAGTATTTGTCAGTAGCCTTGGAATACTGTAGGGGTAAAGTGTTGTAGAATATTATTTTAAGATGCGTTTTAAGAAGCATTTGTTTATGCTGTGGAATATTTGTTTAATGATGCAAAGATGTGTTGCATTCTTTTATGTTGCATTTGTTTAACTCTGTGAAGCTGTGTTACTTTGCCTGTCTAAAACACCTGATTGGTCTAACAAAGAGCTGAATGGCCAATAGCAAGGCAGGAGAGGGATAGGCGGGGCTTCCAGGCAGACAGAATAAATAGAGGAAGAGGGAGGAGTGAGAAAAGGAGGAGAGGAGGATGCCGGGGCCAGCCACGCGGCCACGCGGCCACGCAGCCACGCGGCCACGCGGCCACGCAACCAGGAATGGAGTAATAGGTAAAGAAAGATCTACAAAATAGAGAAAGGCAGAAGCCCAGAAGCAAAAGGTACATGGGAAAATTTAAGCTAAGAAAAGGCTGGGCATTCATAAGTAAGAATAAGTCTCTGTGTATTTATTTGGGAGCTGGATTGTGGGCCCCCAAAACCAAAGAGCTAAAACAAACAAACAAGTAAACCCCAGAGTTACGGTAACTGAACCATAGCCTCTTTGCCCTGAGATGTGGATTAGAACATGACAGAATGGACCACAGCAGTCCTTGTCAACATTTCCTACCAGAAAACATGGCGGGACCAACCCCACAGCTCTGGGTCCCACCAACAGCTAGGCGGGGTAGTGACCATGGGTGAGAACTGTTTCCCTGCAGCCAGGATGACCGACCCTGAAGCCTATTGTGCTGGAGACTTTTGTCAACTTGACACAAA